TGAAGCTAGAGCGGCATCTCTGCTTATAAAGATCAAGGGAAATTGTCTGGCATTTACAGAAAAATCTCATCCAGACCTATCTGTTACAATGTTCACTTAGCAAAGTTTATTAGATTATTAGTTTTAGACCCTTGGGCTTTTTCTTTATTGCAGTTAAGAAGGAAAAGTCCCAACCAAAAATCCTTCCTTCACTAAATTTAAATGGTACAATTAGCTCCTGGTCTTATCTTACAGACATTTTTTAAAATTATGAAGATTTAAGTAGTGATTTAATCCTTTGGAAACTTGCTGCATTTGACAGTGTTAAAATGGATTGTAGCTGCCTTGACTGCAGTTAAATCTTACTCTAGGATTTCTTTGGGGGTGGTTTCTTTCACTTTTGTGTGGTGTAACCGTGCTGGTATCTGCCCGTGTGCGCACCTCCCGGTTCAGGTTCTCAGCTGACGGCAGCTCCGTTGCGCACCGTGAAGCTCGGCTGAACCACATCGCTTCAAAACTTGCTCGTGTGTCTTTTTGCAAGTGACGTTTAGAATTGCTCTGAGGTTCTCATCCAAACTAACTAGAGAGTTAGGGCAACTAACCTGCTGTGGCAAACAGCGAGAGCCCTGCCTATGGTTTGCTTTCTCCCCTCTCTTTCTCCTGACTGTAGATCTTGGCTCTTTGGTGGGAGGTTTCTGGTCCTGCCACCACCTAATCTTTTTTCTATTAAAACAACAGAAAAAGCCCTCAACAAACTCTACTGATTTCTTAAATGTTACATCTGAATCTGTGAATATTTCAGCTTTGTGAAAGGTAAACTTGAACAGGAAAATACCAGGGTTGTTCTTGTTTTTTTTTTTTTCCCTCCTTTCCCCTACTAAAGAGCTCTGTTCCCTGGCGTTGGGTTGTGTGGATGTTCATCAGTCTGATGCCTCCTACTTCCTAAGTTTGGGAATTTTCTTTTGAGTGATCACTTAATTCCTTGTCCTGCATATTGACTGTGTTGCGCTGTGGATAAGAGAAAATAAAAGCAGCTGTAGGAGCTGCTCAGATGCAGCTCTCATGGTACACTCCTCCTAGTTCTTTGTCCAAGGGAAAAGGTACTTTTTTAAAAAGGGGGAAGACTGCAACACTAGAGAGCACAGAAGGATCCTCCAAGGGAAGAGGGAGCATCTGCAACCATCGCTTTGTGTCAGACTTGCTGGTAGTCTTCCGCCTCCAGCAAGCGTGAAGCACAGCAATGGGAGAGCTGACTACGAGGGGCTACTTCTGTGGGAGTAATGCAGTGTGCCTGTGGAGAAGGTTGCTTTCATTGTTTTAAGTGATTGCTCAAATAAGCGATCAGCAGGATCTCGCGTTGCCCTTCTGCAGCCAGTGCTGTTGATGCTAGTCAAATCCTGGAGCGGCCTCTCTTTGCGTGGTGCAAACGCCAGAATGTCGGAGCACGTCAGCGGCTGCTCTGCGATCTCCTTGCAGCGATGGTTTGGCTGCTGGGGCCAGCAGGGTAGCAGCGGCATAAATCTTGAGATACACCATATGCCTTTTTCTGACCCTGAATCTAGCCGCCGCGATGCTTGCGTGGGCGCAGGGCTGGCTTCCACCCGCTTCCCAAATAGCTCCCGTGGGGCTGCAGAGCTGCTGGGACTTGGTTGGAAATGTGGGGGACGCTGGGAAGGCAGGAGTGCAATTACCTCAACTGGAAAATTGGCTGAGATGCTGCAGTTGAATCCCCCTTGGTGAAAGCCTGTAGGCTTAAATTAAGACCTGATCTGTTCCCTCTCAAAGGCAATGACATTTAACCTTCTGCAAATGGGATCTGGAAGACAAAAGGGGCTCTGTTGGGTACCTAAGGGGAGCTTCCAGGGGCTACGGAGATTTGAGGGGCTTTTGGGATGTATGTTTCAGAGTAGTTTCTAGGAAGACTGTGATAAATCAATGCAGATAAACCTGCCTGTACATGTACGGTATTCTCGTATTCATGGGAGAATCCTGTTTCTTCTCTCCTCCGGAGCTGAGCCCTCGATGGTTCTGGCAGAGCAGGCGCTGTGGGGAAGACGTTGATTCATCTCCCCTTGCGTGCCGCGGTAGGATAAAGGCAGAGCTGTAACTCTTGGTCCTACCAGGTGGCTCTGAAGGCTGTAAATCCTCCATTAGGCATAAATGCAGCCATTTTGGTTATTTATAGTTATTTACACTATCCATTCATATCTGTCAGGAATGAAGGCGGTTTTGACATTGCAAGCTTCTATCAGGTTATCTTTAATCAGTTTAGAGGCACCTAAGCCACAAATATATCAAATAGCCAATCCTAATGTTGGAGTCCTCTAAAGTATGACTGAATTATTTATTTTGTTATGATGAAAACGTCT